AGGTACCAATGTGAGATTTCTAAAGATAGCTCAACCCAAAGTTTAAGAATCTGAAATGCCTTCCAAAATCTGAAAGGGACGAGGTGTGGAACATGCTTTCAGAAGTCTTAAAAGAGCAACGTTCCGATGCGGAAACTACAGAACCTGAACCACCATTTTAGAGGACATGCATCCATGTTGATTCCCTATCTGGAATGGTGTTTGAAGCATGTAGGGGCATATGAATCTTTAGTGCATCTGGCACGTAAAAACCTTGCAAAACCGTGCAAATGCCTGTTCTCACTTTCAGGTGACATTGTAAACAAGAATTGGGCAACATTATCTCTGGAAAATGTAAACAAACTTGTTTGTCTGAGCAATTGGCTGAACAAGAAGTAGGACTGAGTGGACTTGTAGGCTCTAAAGTTTTACATTGAATGCAGGTTTTTTTTGTACATAATTCTACATTTGTAAGTTCAACTTTCATGATAAAGAGATTGCACTGCAGTGCTTGTCATGGGGGAATTAAAAAATACCATTTATTTTGTTTTTTACAGTGCAAATATTTGTAACCAAAAATAAATATAAAGTGAGCACTGTACACTTTGTATTGTGTTGTACTTGAAATCAATATATTTGAAAATGTAGAAAACATCCAAAAATATTTAAATAAATGGTATTCTATTATTAACAGTGTGATTAATCACAATTATTTTTTTAATCGCTTGACAGCCCTATTAAAAATGCTTTTGTTCAAGCAACGTGAGGGTCACCACGTCGGTGCAGAAGCCCAAAAAGAATAAAGCCACTCCAGTGAGAACTGTTACAATATGTAATCTGCAGAGTCTTTGTAATAATTTATCTATTCTCTACCAAGACTGTGAATACATTAATGGTCTGTTTAGGCAGCTTTCTTAACCTAGGGATCTGAAATAACTTATAAACAATTTATAATTGAACCAATCTATAGGCAAATCTGAGGTGAACACATCAATTACTAACTAATGGGACCTGAATTTTGTTGTTGCTTTTCTTCTAGTCATTCCATATGGGTTTCTATATCAGGTTATCAGGTGTTCCCTAGTAGTGTAAGGTGGGGAATTTAACTAGTTCATTACTACTTCTTTTTTTCTATCCAACTCTTTGGGCATGACTTTTTCCAAAGTTCCTGAGTGACATAGGCACACAAATCCCAGTGGAAGTCAATAGTATTCATGCTCCGAATAGTATTCAATAGTATTCACTTAAGCTCTTTTGAAAATCATATCCTGTTTCTATAAGGCTTCAGTAAAAACATTTTCCTGGGTCTTATATTTAACACAAAGTCAGCATTACCAAACAGATACCTAGTATTGTCTATACACTTAGCTGACAGAATGATCTAGGGGCTGCACTTCATCAAGATATAATACTTAGATAACGTGCCAGTGGTTATAAGGAAGACACTTTGAAAAAGCCTTAGCTAGCTAACAGTAGTAAATGAATCTGCTGCCATTTTGATCTTTGAACTCCCTTGTAGCACCATCTTCCCTGGAAGATCTTTTTTCCTTTTCTTCCCTTTCTACTTGGCATTTGTGAGACCTCAGCTGGAGTACTGTGTCCAAGTCTGGTGCCACAATTCAGAAACAGTGTGGATAAAATTGGAGAGTAACCCAAAGGGGAGCAAGAAAAAATGATAACCTTTCCCCCAGGTCAGGTTTTAAAAAAACTTGGCATGTTTAGTCTTGAGAAAAGAAGACGAGGAGTGGTGGTGGTGGAAGGGGGACCTGATAACAGTCCTCAAATATGTTTAAGGCTGTAATAAAGAGGATGGTGTTCTCCATGTCCACCGAAGGTAGGACAAGGAGTTATGGGCTTAAAGAAGATTTAGGTTAGTTACACTTTCTACCTGTCAGAGTACTTAAATTCTGGAATAGGCTTCCAAAGGAAGTTTTCTAATCCCCATCAATGGTTTTTAAGAGCAGGTTGGACAAACACCTTTCAGGGATGGTCTAGGACAGGCATGGGCAAACTTTTTGGCCCGAGGGCCACATCTGGGTATGGAAATTGTATGGCGGGCCATGAATGCTTACAAAATTGGGGGATGGGGTGTGGGAGGGGGTGAAGACTCCAGCTGGGGGTGCGGGTTCTGTGAGAACAGAATGATGAGTTAAGTGTGCGGGCTGAGGCACAGGGTTGGGGTGCGGGAGGTTGGGTAAGGGCTCCGGCTGGGGGTATGGGCTCTGGAGATGTGTGTTTGGGGTGCAGGAGAGTGCTCTGGGATGGGACCAAGGGGTTCGGAGGGCAGGAGGAGGATCAGGGCTGGGGCAAGGGGTTGGGGTGTGGAAGGGGGTCAGGGGTGCAGGCCCTAGGTGGCGCTTACCTCAAGCAGCTTCCAGAAGCAGCGGCATATCCCCCTCTGGCTCCTACGCAGAGGCACGGCCAGGCAGCTCTGCATGCTGCCCGATCTGCAGGTGCTGCCCCTGCAGCTCCCATTGGCCATGGTTCCCACGCTTGGGGCAGGGGCAGCATGCGGAGCCCCTTGGCTGCCCCTACGTGTAGAAGCCGGAGAGGGGACATATTGCTGCTTCCAGGAGCCACACGGAGCAACAATACGCATGGAGCATGGCAACCCCCGACCCCACTCGAGCAAGCCCCAGACCCTGCTCCCGGTGGGTGCTTGAGGGCCGGATTAAAATGTCTTAAGGGCTGGATGCGGCCCCTGGGCTGTAGTTTGCCCACCACTGGGCTAGGATAACTTGGTCCTGTCTCAGCATAGGGAGCTGGACTTGATGACCTCTTGAGGTCCCTTCCAGTTCTACTTTTTGATGATTCTGTAAGTCCCCAAAATATGCAGCTTCTCTTCTTGATCATTATTCACAACTGAAACTGTTTCATTACACATGGCTGAAAACTCTTATTTGTTTCTGTGATTGTCATATTCTTCTTTTAATATTCAGTACTGGATAAATCTTGCTCTTGACAGAACTATGAGAGAGCAGTGAACTGCCTGGTGTATTCCGTGCAAAAGGACATCAGCCAGAGAGAGATGTTGCGGACCTCACTTTGCTATTCTCCTAAGTGGCATAAAACAGGTTTGTCCTAGGCATAGAATGATGTACTTTGTTTGACCATTTGTGTACAGATTAACTAACCTGTGAGGAAAGGGCTAAATAAGGTGGCTTTTGAATGATTGTTTGGCCTTTATCAAGACATTAATTTTGAGGGCTCCCTTTGTTTGGAATACATATGCATAAAAACTGGAATTTCCTTGTCTAATCACTGATTCTTATTAAACCACAAAGTATATTTTTATGACACTTGCTACTGACCCATTGAACTGATAACAGACATCTTTTGATAAAAAGGACCTTGGGGTGCTATTCTATAGGAATGTGCAATGAAAGATGCTTCTGCACCTAGCTACATTTTCTGCGGGAAATGTTGCTCTGCATGTAGAACTCTTGTTAACTGACTTTCACATATCTGATTTCTGGAAGGTCAAAAACTGGTTTCAGACCTGTTCTTAAAGCTAATCCTGATAAAGGGTGTGAAAAATCCCCTTTACAGTGCTCTATACATGTCTGCTTACTGTTTCAGGATGTTTCCTGACTGATGCAGCAAACCTCTGATCAGTCAACCCCTGAGCCCCACCCCTGCCTGGAGTGGATGAATGAAGTCCATTGTCATCGTCAAGAGTGACCAGCATCCACAGCTTGAGCCAACTGGTGTTCTCATTTACACCAGTGTAGCCCTATTGAAGTTAATGGGAGAGCACCCATGTACTTGAGAGCAGCATTTGCCCCATTGTCTTGAAAGAGGAGCGATGAGGGTTGTGTGGGATTTGGAAGAGATTGTCCCTCCTGCTGGGGCCTCTTTAGGAGGAACAACCCCCAATCTTACCCTTTAAGACATAAGTCCATGGCAGGTGTAAGCTGTGGTTAAAGTAGATGGGGTTCTCATCCAGGATGAGGGTTCCTAGGTGCCATGGTAATGTATGTAATAAATAATAGTTGAAATAGGAGGATATGTTTTCATTGCAACAGCTGAGGAGGAAGGAGAACTACTCCCCACAAGCTGGGAGAGATGAGAAAGCTCTCCCTCAGGGTTGGGGAATGCTGTGCTGCACCTGTTCCCTCTTCCCTTAGCTCCTGGGTGTCGGGCTCCATCCTTTTCAGTCATGATTGGGCATTAATGGTGTGAGGTGAAGACACTTATGGAGCTGCTGTGGCTATGACTCTGGGAATAGAGACCTTGGAAACCTACTGCAGTTGTCTCAAATGCTATCTATTTCTTGATACATTTTATTGATTATATTAAATTCTAAAGGTATTTAACTTAATCATTCTTTGATCTTATCTGTTTAATATACCAGAAAGAAAAACATTGTAGAGGGAAAAAATTGTTTCCAACTTCTCCTTCTATAGACAGTATATTGATAAACTGGCTATATCCTCATTACCTTTAGAGGAATTCAGTAATTGCTATAGATGTATATAGATACAGTTCATACATTTCCCAATGTTTCTCATACTTTACATGAACATTAGTAGCGTTCACTAAAATGTTTTTGGATGACAGATAATTAGAGCTGTTATAACAGCTGATAATGCTTCTTGCGGGGCCCAGCTCTGCCAAAACAAAACAATCCCTCCCCCCAAAACAAACCCCAACCATATCATGCAAGCCTGCAGGCATGGAGCACTCAGGACTTGCATAGTGTGAGAAGCAGAACAGAATTCTGTTTGAACTGGATGTTTTAAAAAAAGTAAAAACAGTTTCTGCATGCAACATCTCATCAACTGAAGACAGCACTTATCTATATACTTAAAACTTATTTATCGGTTTTGAATAGTGACCAGAACATGGTCCTGCTTTGCAGCACAAAGTGACAAGTGATCACTTAATGCATTGCTGCTCTAAGAGCAACAAAATGTTTAGTTCAGAGTATGCGTGACAGCACCTAGGAGGGGTGGACATTTCTCAGAATGTGATTAGAATAGCAGAAACCTTAGATCTCTGAGACCACTAGCGATCTGTTGTTAGTCATCCTGACACTTGTCTATGTTTCTTCTTGGCATGAAAAACATCTCCAAGAAGGGCTGTCTTTCATTCGGGTGCATGGATAAGTCATTGCTTTTCTGGATGTTCTTAAGGCCTCTTCCTTTTGGTGTCTGTACTGTATACCGTCTCAGAAGAGTCACCAGGATTGCCTTCATCATTACCATGGCAATAAACTTTCCAACACAGCCACGAGGGCCAAATCCAAATGGCTGAAAGTAGCGAGAAGGAACCTGTGTGAAACAATGAAAAAGGTCCATTGAGGGCACGTAGAACAATTTCCATCATTAAATTATTAAGAATATCATTGAAATCTCTAAGCATTTTATGGGGAACCTTTAGACAGACTCTTTTTGGATTAAGTATTTTTTCACATGCAGACTTCCTGGCCTTAATATCATTGTTGATTTTTTTTTTTTTTTTTTTTTTAAGAGAAGGATAAAAACAATCAGATAAAAAACTTGTGGAAATAACATTTAAAATTGCAATCTCATTCTGTGACCTCAGGAACTGCAGAAGTGAGACAGCCAAATTCTGCCCAGAAATGAGGGCCAGTAGGTCCCATTGACTACAGTGGTCTTGCACAGTGTGTGAATGAGGGCAGGAGCTGGTCTAGGAATCTGGAAATGTGTGTCTGGATTCCAATGATGATATCTCAATTAACTTATTGATTGGCGTGGGTTGCTTTCATTTAGATTAGAACAGTGTGTGTTATGTGGCCAACAGAATGCATCAAGTCAGATTGTATTGCTCACATTACATTAGTTATGAATCCCAAGAAAATGTGTCTGCTTTAAATACTTGGTCAGAGGGGAACATTTTTAGCAGAAAAATGAGCTTAGAAAGCAATCAAGAAATCCACTAAGAGAAATGGCTAGAATGGAAATAATGGGTAAAATTGATGAAATAATCTAGAGCGAATAATTAACTTGATAAATTTAGCCACTTTTTCTCTTTGTGAATTTTCCACAATGATTAATTCTTGGGCTAAAGGTTGTGTGCAAAGTTCATTGTTGGTAGTTGACTATTAACATGAAAATATTCGCCTTGTTGGTTAGTTTTGATTGGTTGGATAGAGTAAATGATACTATTTATTCTCTGACTGGATGACTATAAATCATAGGATCTCATTTCTGGTTCAGTCTTAACGTTTGAGAGTTCAACATTAATTTATGGCAAATATCCCCTTACATTTTCTTAGTTGTTTCTGCAAAGATCCTCACCAGTAAACATGCTTCCCAAAACATTCACTAAAAATTAGCACAAAATGGGTTTCAAAATGAATTCTTCTGTTCACTTTTTTATTTGAATATTATGTGTGGATGTTTTTGGAGGTATTTGCCAAGAGCTAATAAAAGGTTTGAATAGATAACAAAATAGTGTATTTATATAGATAACAATTTGTATATATAAATACACTATTTTGTTATCTATTCAAACCTTTTATTAGCTCTTGGCAAATACCTCCAAAAACATCCACACATAATATTCAAATAAAAAAGTGAACAGAAGAATTCATTACTAAAACTCTGGGAATACTAATATTAATGTTTGCATAGTGGGAAAATCCACAAAACCAGTACAAGGAGGTTTCCTCTGTATGATCAAGATGGGGATGTACCTGTTGTAGGACAAGAGCGTATCAAGCCCTCCAAGTTTGCATGGCTTTTAGGCCTGCTACCTCTTGAAGTTAAGGAACTCAAGACTTGCTTCAAAACATTAAAGCCTGATCATGCTAAGTGCCTCCTGAGAAGTGCTAAATTGATCTTAAAATTTCATAGTCCATGTCCTTTACCATTGAAGGCATTGCAGTGTCTTCCGCTTACTTCCAGTTAATTTGATCAAAAACCAAGGAACCAAATAATTTGTGTTATAAGTAATATAACCCCCACTTCTATTTTGATAGATTTTTACCACTTGAAACAGCTCTTATTGGATAATTTAATTTCTAGCAATGGCAATTAGGGGAGGGGGGATAGCTCAGTGGTTTGAGCATTGGCCTGCTAAACCCAGGGTTGTGAGTTCAATCCTTGAGGGAGCCATTTGGGGATTGGTCCTGCTTTGAGCAGCAGGTTGGACTAGATGACCTCTGGAGGTCCCTTCCAACCCTGATATTCTATGATTTTATGAAAGCAGCCATTTAACTAATGACAAACCAAAATTCTGAATAGGAGAAAGAAAAAAGCCCAAGGAAGACCCTTTAATAGTAAAAGGTGATTGCAAATAAATTTTGTTGTTCATACATTGCAGTTGACATTGGGCCCAATCCTGCAAGGTGCTGAGGAGTCTAGCCCCGATGGTACCACTTGTGTGCTTAAACTTAAACCTGTACTGAGGCACTTGCTGGAGTGGTGCTGTATTGCTCAGCATCATGCATGAGTGAGCCCCTCATAATCATTATAATGTGCTATGAAAACTGATGTGCATCCAGGTGCTTACATGGACAACGAGAAATTGACCTGTAGAAAGGACTTCATCCAAATAAGAGGGAGACCCATTTTGCATTTTAATTAGAAATAATACTCTATCCCCTATCAGAAAGAAGACAGGAAACTTACATTCTTCTCAAAATTTTCAAGAGAAAACTCATTAGGCTTCGGGAAGAATTCAAGCTTATGCATACGTCCGATATTCAGAATGATGTTTGTCCCCCTTTTCACAGGATAGCCATCAATTACATCATCTTGTAAAGCCTTGCGCATGACCAAATCCACAACTGGCTGGTATCTCATACTCTCATTAATAAAATTCTCCACAACCTTTAAGTTCGACATGTCATTGCTCTGTACATCTCTGTCACCTTGAGGAATAAAGCAGACAAAAGAAGTTGATTTTGCTATTCTAATTTTACCTGATTGCTATTTGAAATGTTGCAGTTGATGCCAGAATGGTTTTGGAAATCCCTCCATTCAGTAAAAATGCTGTCTCCTTTCAGGATTCATGGTGACAAGGAGTCTATGGGTTCTTGTGGCTTTGTGTAGCCTCATACTACAGAAGCCAGCCATACTGTTTACCCATGTGGACACTAAGTGACTAATCAAGTGATCTGCCCCAAATCCAAGTCTCCTCTCCCACACAGTCTGGCTCTAATCCTGCTTTCATTGACGATAATAGCAAAACTGCTTCAGTTCAGTGGAGTAGGATCAAGGCCTTGTATGAAACTGATTTAACATGCCATAGATTCTTAAGCTGAAGGGCCAGATTCATTGACATGTGGCACAGGCTGTGCGTGTAAATTACACCTCCAGTGCACCAGTAAGGCCCTTTCCCGAAATATGGGGATACATACACAGGGAAGGCAATTGACATTTCCACTGCCTTTCTTTCTTAGGGGTTGCACTAGTGGGGGAGGGCAGGAAAACAGGGCTAAGACCTGAAGGTTTCTCTACGCAATATGACAATGAGCACTATGGAGGTGTGATTTCAAAAGCGCACTAACATGTTGAGCACTAATTGGTCCATGTAGACCCTGCTCGGTCATTCTAGAAGTTCCCTAGTGGATTTTAATGTAGTACTATTTCAAGATTTTCAAACTATGAAACATTGCTGCACCATGTAGACGAGCCCTGGTTCAACTCCTGTGGGAGTCAATGGAAAGACATTCATTCATTTAAATAGAAATTGGATCAGGACTTTAATTCCTGCCAGGAACCAGGAGTTCCTTAGGTGGTACAATACCCACTTCTGGGCCATCCACTCTTAGAGATCAGTAGACCAATCTACCTTACAGTGATGAGGCCAAATAAGTGTAGTGTGTGAGATCCTTCCAGACACCTGCAGCATCCCTACTATGGCTGGTCAGAAAAAAATTCCCCAAATAACGATGAATTGGCAAATTGTGATTAAAACAAAATTGAAACCTTTCATGGTGATGGGTTGATTAAAATCAAACTCCACTGGAAACCAGGCAGGATTCTGATGGAAGCCTATGTGCCAGGGGTTTCAAAACATGCCTGCCAGGCAGGTTTCCATCTGAAATCTTCCTGGTTTCCTCCCCTGATGGGGAGCTGGGAGCCTGGAATCCTTGGTTCCTAGTATTTCAACTCCTTGACAGCCCAAACTCCTAGGGTGCTCTGCACTGGAGCAGGCCACCTGGCAGACTGTCTCAGAGTGGGGGCTCCCTGTACAGATAAGCAGAAAATGTTTCATGGAAAATTTTGGGGTTTCATTCTGGATTGTAATAAAACCAGACTTGGAAATCTCAACCTCCACAAAATGGAAGGACCCTTCTCCGCCCAGCTCTACTTGTACTCCCTCAGTGCAGGGGACAGTGAAACTATCCTATAGTAAAACATTTATTTTTTAAAAAGTTAGCTAACCATTGAACCTATTTGTCATCTTTGCGCTGTTCCACTGCAGTTCTCTATCCTCTTCAGTGAACTTTAATGGAATGGTTTGAAAACAGTCATGGAATTTTTTGAAATCCTGGCAATTACTGGAACCATTTGAAAGCTAAGCATTTGGAGAAGTAAACTTTCGGTCACTTGTTCAAGAGAAACAAATATTTCTGAAAGCTTCCCTGCTTAACTCTATCTTCTGCTCTCCCAAATGAGAGTGCCTTCAAAATTTTTGAAAAACGGGACCCTAAGGCAACAGGGGTTAGATCTTAATATGAGAGGAAAGCTCTGTATTAGTAAAAGAATAATTAATTAAACTTACCATCTCGCCAAGGTACACAACACTGACTGGGGAAATCACTGATGTGTATGAGATTATAGGAAACAATTTACTTTAGAAAACTCAGCAGTCTGATACATTGTGGCACATGTAGGTTTTGCTGAGGCATTTTGTAGTTGATAGATATGAGGCTGCCTTTTGGCATTAAATTATAGCTGACTGCTTCTAGGAAGCCAAGTATATAGTTGTGAAAAGAGGCCTTTCAGCTACATATTAATGAGAACTGTTGTTACTCTTGTATGGCCCATGGGATTCAACACTTAGATATCAATGTGCTGACTTAACATATAAGTGCAGAGGTTGCTGGATTCACTTGGGTTACAAGGCTCGTGGCCAATTAAAAAGACAGACATCCACATAAAGAAAGATAAGAGATGCAGCTTGCTAGCTGGAGGGGAGAAAGGTGACAGGTGACGTTTAGCTAAAGCTCTGGGACAACATTAAAATATTCTTAAAATAGTTTTGCACAAGTGTTACTTATTTCAGATATGAAACTTGATTTAAAAGCAATGTAATGAACCAAAATAAAGGAGCAGAGTGCCTAGAGATACCGGTGGATGAGAGTGAATGCAATGAATATCTACATTGTTGTTCAGGCCGGGAAGAGAAATTAAAGAAAGGAAGGACTAAAATATTAACATAATTTGTGGGTCTGCCATTCATTAGCACCCACAGAGATGACCAGAAAATGGACCAGAGTTTTGAAAATCCTCAAGTCATTCTCTTCAGCCATTTAACCATTTTTGTTGCTTTTGTTTCAACTTACTCCAGTTGATCTACAACTTTCTACTACTAAGATGCTCAAAGTCAGGAAAGCACATGTTTAAATCCATATGTATTCAGGAAGTATTTAGGCACATGCTTAAATCCCATTAACTCCTTTGGGATTTAAGGATAGGCCTGAAGTTAAGCACTTGCTAAAGTGGTCTCTGATGAGGGATGCTTCCCAGAATGGGGGCCTCATTTCAGTATTAGAAATGTAGCTTCACCGGTATCTTAGAGAGGTACTTTCACAAGGCAGGTGATTCATCCTTTGAAGTGTCCATATAATATATCTTAATTATATTGCATATCCAAAATAAAATATTAAGCTTACCACTAATAGATCAATTTGCAAATTCTGACTCTCCTTTTTCCAAATGCTTTTTTGATTACTTGAAAGGTTTGACTACTATGCAGAAAATATTCACATGATAGATTTCTTAATTTCAAATTTTCCAGAGAGAATGTAGTATTTTTAAGCAGCTTTTTACCTATGTGTAAGGGGACTGTTGCCCCCTTACTAACATTCAGTGGGGGGGTTTTGGCTGGCTAGCTCCCAGCACTAAAAGGGGAGGGGTCGATGGGAAATCAGGAGCCTGAGACTGACAGTCCCCTGGACCAATGGGGAGAGGCCAATGCTCCAGATCACCCTGATTGACAGGGCGGGCAGGCTAATCAGGGAATCAGGAGGCCAGGGGGGTCCCGTCCTCCGTGTAAGCTGGAATGGCCTGAGTCAGACAGAGTGGGGCCGAGCTAAGGAGAGAGCAGGGGCCCGAGCTAAGTTGCTGGAAGCAGAGCTGCAGCCCCAAAGCCAGAGCACAGCCCAGAGAGAGCAGAGCTGCCCTGGGAGGAGAGCTGCAGCAACCAGAGCCAGAGGGGCCAGACAAGCAGCCCAGGGAGCTGAAGGCAGAGCAGCAGCAGCAGCCGTGCTGAGGCTGAGTGGAGCTGGGGCTGGAGCAGTCTGGAGCCGGGTGCGGTGAGCTGCTGGGGAGAGTGAGGGGGACCCTGGGCAGTGGGCCCAGCACAGGGAGACGCCTCAGCCAAGAGGCCTTGCAGGCCAGACTTGGAGGGGGATCGTAACCCCGACAGGGCGGGGGCGACGCTGGGAAGAAAGGTCCTGCCACCTAGAGCCTGAGAGCGTGTGGCCACAGCCAGAGCAAGTGTCCAACCCGCAGCATCTCTGCAGCACAGCCAGGGCCTGAGAAGGCGCCTGGGACCTACAAGGAACAGACTGAACTGCCCTGACGTTCCAGAGACACTGTTTGTGATGTTCCCTGCCACAGAGCAGGGTGATGGGTTTTCCTTTAACCTTTCCCATTTTTCCTTATTCTTTTTCAAAAGTAATTGTTAATTAAACAACTTGTATTTGCTTTAAATTGTATGAAATGATCAGTGGGTCAGGGAGGTGCCCAGTGCAGAGAGAGTACGCCGGAGTGGGGACACCCTAGCCCCTGTCCTAGGTGACCACAGCAGGGTTGGGGGTCAAGCCCCCCAGGAATCCTAGGCCCAGCCTTGTCGGGGTTTACGAGGACTCTGCCAGACAGGAGAGTGGAAGGGGAGTCCTCAAGGGCAGGGAGGCCTCTGGGTAAAGGAAGTGGGAGCGAGGACTCGGATCCTTTCGCTAGCCCACTTCACCAGGGTAGTGCAGAAGCCAGGAAAGTTCCCCACAATAGCGGGACCATTCCCCCGCTTACATATGCATACTATGTATACAGGGATAATATGATATGAATAGTTGTTAGTTCAGCTTAGCTGGAGCGATCATACCTAATTTCATAGTTCAGTACCGGTGGTTAAAAAGCACCATGAACCAGCTTCTGCTCTCAGTTACACCAGTGTAAATCCAGAATAATTCCACTGAGGTCAGTGAAGTGACTACAGGTTTATACTGGTGTAACTGGGCTGAATTTGGTCCTATCATTCTAGAAGATTGCCTCCGATCTTAATTTATTATTTCCTTAGTAGTTTATCTTTTATCATTTTTCCCCCACTCAGTTTTGAATGCTACTTCAGAAGACCTTTTTTACAACATTATGCAGCAAGATAATTATTGCACCCACTTTACAGTAAATAAACTTTAGATTTTTCTCCTGGAAAATGATTAGATCACTACTCAAGCATAATTATTTTCCAACATCATGGTCTTTATAGACAGTCCTTACCTATAACAGCTTGGATTTCCTTCATCATATCATCTTCCACTTTAGGGTGCTCTGCAATCAGTACTAGCATGAAGAAGAGAGTCACAGACAGTGTGTCAGGTGCAGCTATCATCATCTCCAACACACACTGGTTCACATTCTCACCAGTCAGATCTCCACGGCTCTACAAAATTCAAGGGGGCAAATGTTGAACGCTGAACTTGAGCTCCAGCAAAGGTTCTTAGGTCAACAGGAAGGGGAGAATGTGTAATATGTAGACTCACTTGAAACAACTGGTTCAAGTCCTATCAAAGTTTACTCAGTCCTTATGCTACTGGGAGAGAGAAGTAATATCCACTTCATGTGTGTCTCAGATGAAGCACTGAAAACCAATGTCCTGCCTGGTGTATATGAGGTTTGTGCTTAACCCAAATCCCTCCTCCACTCACTCTGCTGCAGCATACTGTGCACCATTCACTTGCTATGCTCCAGAGTGTACTTGATTGGCAGACATTCTGCATGATTATGATTTCTGAAGCACTTGGGGATTCTTTGGAGTAAAAGGTGTTTATATAAATGGAAAATATATGGGCCAAGGAGAGGCTGGAGGAGATGTGGGCATGAGCTTGAGAGCTTTGGGCATGTGGATATAACCTGAAAAGGTTCAGACAAGCAACCAAACATTTTGATGCAATTATTCAAAGCCTGGAACCTTGTTGAGGTGTTCCAAACACTAATTAATTTGTATTAGTTTTAAATGACATTACTTTCTGCTATATAGATTAAGTCAAACTCTGTTACAAATCCCAGTTTGTTCTCAGTAACAGGAGCATTTTCGACAAATTCATATTTTGTTCATATTCAATACCTGTGCAAAAATCAGTTGTGATGCAAAGTCCATGTGCTCTTCCAATTTTTCAACAGTGGAAAGTCTCTGTCGTTTCTGTTCTATTAAGACTTCAATTGCTTCTTTCAAATCCTTCCTGAAAACAGATAGAACCCAGTATATCTATAAACGTCTGAGATATTTTAGTGCTTAGTAATGCAGGATGGGAAATGTAAGACTATATTGGACAAGAAATGTAACAATAAAACAGACAACCAAAAACATTCTTTGGATAATTCTGTAGAGAAGCAGTAAAACAAGGCAGATTGCCTCTAGAGAAGTGAGAAGTGACTGCTGTTCTTACAGTGAAGCTATATGAGCATAGATTTGCCCTGCCAGAGCAGATTGGTCCATCAAGTAAGGTAATATGTCTCTAGCAGTGTCCAATACAGGCTGATCCAGAGGAAGGTGGGCAAACCCACAGAACAGGTAGCTTACTGTAAAATGCTGTACATGAGAGGAAAAAATTCATGACCATAATTAGACTTGATGAAAACATGGCAAGGAATTTCACAACTTATAGATTCATAGATTCTAGGACTGGAAGGGACCTCGAGAGGTCATCGAGTCCAGTCCCCTGCCCGCATGGCAGGACCAAATACTGTCTAGACCATCCCTGATAGACATTTATCTAACCTACTCTTAAATATCTCCAGAGATGGAGATTCCACAACCTCCCTAGGCAATTTATTCCAGTGTTTAACCACCCTGACAGTTAGGAACTTTTTCCTAATGTCCAACCTAGACCTCTCTTGCTGCAGTTTAAGCCCATTGCTTCTTGTTCTATCCTTAGAGGCTAAGGTGAACAAGTTTTCTCCCTCCTCCTTATGACACCCTTTTAGATACCTGAAAACTGCTATCATGTCCCCTCTCAGTCTTCTCTTTTCCAAACTAAACAAACCCAATTCTTTCAGCCTTCCTTCATAGGTCATGTTCTCAAGACCTTTAATCATTCTTGTTGCTCTTCTCTGGACCTTTTCCAATTTCTCCACATCTTTCTTGAAATGCGGTGCCCAGAACTGGACACAATACTCCAGCTGAGGCCTAACCAGAGCAGAGTAGAGCAGAAGAATGACTTCTCGTGTCTTGCTCACAACACACCTGTTAATACATCCCAGAATCACGTTTGCTTTTTTTGCAACAGCATCACACTGTTGACTCATATTTAGCTTGTGGTCCACTATAACCCCTAGATCCCCTTTCTGCCGTACTCCTTCCTAGACAGTCTCTTCCCATTCTGTATATGTGAAACAGATTTTTTCTTCTTAAGTGGAGCACTTTGCATTTGTCTTTGTTAAACTTCATCCTGTTTAACTCAGACCATTTCTCCAATTTGTCCAGATCATTTTGAATTATGACCCTGTCCTCCAAAGCAGTTGCAATCCCTCCCAGTTTGGTATCATCCACGAACTTAATAATCGTACTTTCTATACCAATATCTAAGTCGTTAATGAAGATATTGAACAGAGCCGGTCCCAAAACAGACCCCTGCGGAACCCCGCTCGTTATGCCTTTCCAGCAGGATTGGGAACCATAACAACTCTCTGAGTACGGTTATCCAGCCAGTTATGCACCCACCTTATAGTAGCCCCATCTAAATTGTATTTGCCTAGTTTGTCGATAAGAATATCATGCGAGACCGTATCAAATGCCTTACTAAAGTCTAGGTATACCACATCCACAGCTTCTCCCTTATCCACAAGACTCGTTATCCTATCGAAGAAAGCTATCAGATTGGTTTGACATGATTTGTTCTTTACAAATCCATGCTGGCTGTTCCCTATCACCTTACCACCTTCCACGTGTTTGCAGATGATTTCCTTAATTACTTGCTCCATTATCTTCCCTGGCACAGAAGTTAAACTAACTGGTCTGTAGTTTCCTGGGTTGTTTTTATTTCCCTTTTTATAGATGGGCACTATATTTGCCCTTTTCCAGTCTTCTGGAATCTCTCCCGTCTCCCATGATTTTCCAAAGATAATAGCTAGAGGCTCAGATACCTCCTCTATTAGCTCCTTGAGTATTCTAGGATGCATTTCATCAGGCCCTGGTGACTTGCAGGCATCTAACTTTTCTAAGTGATTTTTAACTTGTTCTTTTTTTATTTTATCTGCTAAACCTACCCCCTTCCCATTAGCATTCACTAGGTTAGGCATTCCTTCAGACTTCTCGGTGAAGACCGAAACAAAGAAGTCATTAAGCATCTCTGCCATTTCCAAGTTTCCTGTTACTGTTTATCCCTCTTCACTAAGCAGTGGGCCTACCCTGTCTTTGGTCTTCCTCTTGCTTCTAATGTATTGATAAAAAGTCTTCTTGTTCCCCTTTATTCTCGTAGCTAGTTTGAGCTCATTTTGTGCCTTTGCCTTTCTAATCTTGCCCCTGCATTCCTGTGTTGTTTGCCTATATTCATCCTTTGTAATCTGTCCTAGTTTCCATTTTTTATATGACTCCTTTTTATTTTTTAGATCATGCAAGATCTCGTGGTTAAGCCAAGGTGGTCTTTTGCCACATTTTCTATCTTTCCTAACCAGCGGAATAGCTTGCTTTTGGGCCCTTAATAGTGTCCCTTTGAAAAACTGCCAACTCTCCTCAGTTGTTTTTCCCCTCAGTCTTGATTCCCATGGGACCTTACCTATCAGCTCTCTGAGCTTACCAAAATCCGCCTTCCTGAAATCCATTGTCTCTATTTTGCTGTTCTCCCTTCTACCCTTCCTTATACTTGACTATATACTGAATGAAGTAGTATTACCTTTTATTTGCTCTACATTTATTGCTCACTCCTTTCAACTGAACTCTTGTTTTCTTTCTATGGGATAGCACAAAGGAGATAAAGAAGCTCTGCTCTTCATATGAGTGACTAAGGGCATTTCATTTAAAGCAGGAAAAGTCCCTTTTTGCACAAAAACTGTGGGAGTGTCTACACTTGCCAATGGCTTTTTTCAGTGAAACTCATAAGTTTCACCACCTCCACGAGAGGCATACAACTCTTACTGGTGATGCTTTTATGGTGATGTGCAAGAGAAAACACATTCTTCCTGTTTACACAGCTTTTAGCCTCCGCAGGATATCCCATAGCACCTAGATGACTACTCTGGTCAGGAGCTTTGCTGCCAGGTAAACAGACATCCACCTGTCCCCCTGTAAAGGACCAGGAACTCTGAAACTCCCCTTCCTGTTTTCTTGGCAAATGCTCACTTATCTGGCCAGGTGACTGCCTGCTCCACGGAGCAAATGATCCCCTGCTTGCAGCAATGCTGAGCTACTGGAGCTGATCAGTGTTTGGGGACAGGAGGCTGTGCAGGGATTCAGGATGCCCCAGGATCACCCCCCGCCCCCTTCCCACAAGACCTATTGTCAAAATGGAGAGAGCTGCACAGTGAGATAGTTGCCCTCAGTGTGCTGCTCTCATCCGAGATGGAAGTGCTGCAAACGTAACTTCCACAGGCGTCAGAGTGTTAAGTGAGTACACAAACCAGTGCTTTTCTTTCACTGGTTCACTATCACCATTGAAACCAACAGAGCAAAAACTCTGCAAGCGTAGACATAGCCTTAATGTTGTTTAGGAAGTTACTATTGACATTTCTCAAAGGTGGATTTCTTCCAAGGCTGAACCATATTGTTTTCATCATTAGGCCATGATAACACATTTGGAATATATAAGGACTGGTGCTGGTTAGGGTTAGACAGAGGAAATGGCCTGTAGTTGGTAGAGTTGGTCAAAATTTCCCAAATTTAAAATTTAAACAATAGTTTTTCAAAATTTTGTGGATTTTTTTTTTTTTAACCAGTAAAACACAACTAAGAGAAAGACAGCAATGTTTTCATGGAATTTATTTTGGAGTTTTTACCTGGCTGTATAATTGGTTGGAATTTAGATTTTTGAAAATTTTTGAAATATTTAGGATATGCCCAGTAAAAATGATGATGAAAAATCATGACACTTTCTATTGTGGGTGTGTGTGTTTTAGCGGCACTATATCTGAGGTTTTTCCAGTGTGAAATTTGACTGCCCTCTTTGTGACCAGGGGAATCCCCAAAAAGGCACACTTATTTTATGTATAGTTATAGAGCCATTGTAGAGGGATTAAACTTTCTGTAGTTGATACAATGTGTGTGAAGTACTGTATGTGGGAAGTCCTGATAATGCATGGTCTTCCCTTCCAGTTGAATCAGAAACCTATGGGAAACCCTGGTATGCTACAGTTCTCGAATTCAGTTCACTTTAGGTTCAGGAGTCTGTCACATTCACAGTAGGAAGTAGTGGCCACTAAAAATTTAACAATTGCCTATAGTTGCCATCTAGCAGTATCTGAGCCACCACAGTTATCTCCATAAGACATATTGAGTAAAGCTCTGGTATCATACATACCATTGTGTAGTGACTAATGTTGGTATTTTAGAGATTGACTGGAGACAGGATTTCACCTTCTATGTGAATTTTGCCATTGACTTCCCTGGGGACAGGATTTCCACCAGGGTAGATAGCCTTCCTTCCTTAAAATCCCCTAAGTACTTATTACACATGCTTTATAGCGAGTATTTTATCAGACTAGTCAAGGACATCAGTCCAAGTAAGGAAGAAGTGCTGCCAGTTTGTTTTATAATCAGTCATCTTTTGGTAGAGGAAAACAAAGGAGACCATGAAAACTCAGTGGAAAAGGTTTTGGTTGTTTTTTGTGTTTGTCGACTTTAAAAAGAAATATGGCAAAACTAATGTGTTCCTATTTGAGGGAAAAGATCCATCTGAGATGACAACCAGCATGATAAATGCTAAGTTTAAATCTGAAATGAAGAATTTTGGCAAAGATATAAGCACCAACAAGCAGGATTATTCTGACTCGCTAACTTAACATTCACTATATTGCCATGACTATAAAAAGGACTTGCTGACTCAAGGAATTGCCAGCCTTCTAGGTTACTATTGGAGCCCTGGTTGCTTAGGTAGTAAGTGAAAGCGGATACCATAAGATGGCATGTCATTGCCTGTGTGAAGTGAACTGGTGATTTTGAGTTTTACACCTGAGTTAGCACTAATGTGTGTGTCTCAGCAGAGAAACCAAGACTAAATTGAATTATACTGAATGGTCCCTCATTCATTTTTAAAAACAGACAGAAAACTGACAAGCAAGAGTGACTCTAGGAAGGAAGGAAGGATCTATGTTATTCAGGTGATTTGTAAAACTGTTGATACTTACGCTGACTTTTCATATTTCTTGTACAGCCAAGAAATCTTAAAGAAGATGTCAGGTTTCAGCAAAAGTGCTTGCCAAGCATCAAAGTAGTTCTGAATTTTAAGCACAATGGCATTTTCTGAAAATTAAAAAAACAAACAGCAATGTAAAATGTAAATTTCAATAGCTAGTTCACATAAATGTCACCATAAGCTGCACAATACAGGCCTGCTCCTGCTGAAGTCAATGGGAGCCTGATCAGGCCTTAAAAGTAGGGTTTTAATATCATATTTCTCTTTTACTGCCAGGCATTGTTATTACTGACATTCAAATACTTTGTTTTAATATGTGATAAATAGCAGCATGAAATATTTTTAGAATCCTGTGCAGATTGTGCAGTTTTGTAAAAACCAAGGCTCTTCAGCTGAAAGGAGGCTGCAATGTGATAACCAATGCCAAGTCATCTCCCACACAAGTGGAGTGATGGTGGGTGGGAGATTACAAATGAGTGGAAAACTTGCAGGTGAAAGTTTAGCTTAGTGGAAAGTTTATTCTGACTCTTAAGTGAATATAATCTTGGGATAGGCGCCTGCTAGATACATGGAAACCTCGTTTTGCAGATTTCATAAACTTTTGTCTGCCAACAAACATTCTGCAGCTGGCAATTTGGTACTTCCTCCATTGTAGGCATGCTGCAAACATAAAGAGTGGATTACTTTGACTATATTGTGATTGCTAGGAACACTGAAAACTAGCCGAACTGTCGAGATGCAGATGCTACTACTCGATACAGGGGTCTTGTCAGGCTTAAAAACTGAATACAGGTGTTAAAACGCCGTTTTAAGCCCTTGCTCATGATTAGAATCAATTGCAATCAAATCTGACAGTGTTATTAAAAACTGAATATTAGAGCCAGACCCTGATGTACTTACTCAGACAAAACTCCCCATTCATGGCAATGGGAAATTTTGCGTGAATATGCACCTTAAAAGAGGACCCATTATGAGATAAGAATGTTATCTGTACCATCCAAAGGGATCCCTAGAAAGAGTGTGTTAGAAGTGTCCAGTGTGATCTGTCTCATAAAATTCAGCACATTGATGTTTCCCAGTCCAGCAGTCACATCCTTCAATCTGTCCAGATGGTCTTTCGTTGATTCAACACAAATTGCTATCATACGCACGAGACCTGGACCAGACAAAGCTGAAATGTACATATAAAATAGTCAGATTGTTTAACTTTCATGTTACCTGTATTATCCACCCAGTGGCAATAAAGTTGTAACAGATGATGTAACCAAAATAATTGGAATACAATATTTTTATAATTTTTAGCTTTGTAACCTATCCTCTGATTTTAAAAAGTCCCACTTTGGACATATTGATTAAAATAGCAAAATGTAAAATCAAAGCAAATATACGCTCCCATTCCCCAGCCATTACTATAATAATAGTTAACAGTGGTGAGGCTTAATTAAGCTGGAATTTTCAATCCTCGATGCCTTTGTTAGATACCTGGATCCATATTTATGCACCTGAGTAAATGGCCAGATTTAGAAAGGAGCTGGGCAACAACTCACATTGACTTCAGTAGCAGTGGTGGTCAGCACCTGTCATGATTTAGTAAAACAACTTGGAATATCCTGAGTATGAAAGATGCTACATAAACCAAATTCTATTTAATTCTTCTCTATTTTCTAATTTTAACAAAGCTCTAGTAAGAACGTTTACCTTGTCATCTGCCCACTTTCTATAAAATTCCAGTAGACTTTCATCTAGACTATATTGGTTTCTAAAGGTATCTTCTGATTTTTGCCAGGGCGGTTATTTTCACATGGACTATAGGTTGTCTACAGAGCACTTGCTGGTGGGCTGTAGAAAGCTAGCCAGCCACATGGAGGCTTGTCTATCTTACTACCAGATGCTATATTGCATTAAAAGAACATAAGAATGGCCATTCTGGCTCAGACCAATGGTCTGTCTAGCCCAGTACCCTGTCTTCTGATAGTGGCAAGTATCAGATGCTTCAGAGGGAATGAACAGAACATGGCAATTATTGAGTGATCCATCTAGTTGCAGTTTCTGGCAGTCAGAGGCTTAGGGACACCCAGAGTGTGGGGTTGCATCCCTGACCTATTCTCCATGAACTTATCTAATTCTCTTTTGAACCCAGTTATTCTTTTGGCCTTCACAACATCCACTGACAAGGAGTTCCACAGGTTGACTGTTATGTGAAGTACTGTCTTATGTTTGTTTTAAACCTGTTGCCTATTAATTTCATTGGGTGACCCCTGGCTCCTGTGTTATGTGAAGGGGTAGATAACACTCTCCACACCATTCATGATTTTATAGACATCTATCATATCCCTCCTTAGTCGTCTCTTTTTTCCCTAAGCTGAACAGTCCCAGTCTTTTCACTCTCTCTTATATGGAAGTTGTTCCATTCCCCTAATAATTTGTTGCCATTCTCTGTACTTTTTCCAGTTCTAATATATCTTTGATACAGGGTGACCAGAACTGCATTCAGTGTTCTAGGTAGGAGTATACCATGGATTTATAGAGTAGCATTGATATTTTCTGTCTTATCTATTCTTTCCCTAATGGTTCCTAACATTTTGACTGCCACTGCCCATTGAGCAAATGTTTTCAGAGAACTATCTATACTAGCTCCAAGATCTTTTTATTGAGTGGTAGCAGCTAATTTAGACCCCATCATTTTGTATGTTTAGTTGGAATTATGTTATCCTACATGCATTACTTTACACTTATCAACATTGAATATCATGTGCCATTTTGTTGCCCAGTCACCAAATTTTGTGAGATCCCTTTGTAACTCTTCACTGTTACAAAATTACTCAAGATAGTATCAGCTGAAAACTTTGCCACCTCACTTTTTACCTCCTTTTCTAGATCAATAGGGCCCTACCAAATTCATGGCCATGAAAAACGCATCACGGACTGTGAAATCTGGTCTTCCCCTGTGAAATGTGGTCTTGTGTGTGCTTTTACCCTATACTATACAGATTTTATGGGGGAGACCAGGTTTCTCCAATTGGGGGTCCTGACCCAAAAGGGCGTTGCAGGGAGGTTGCAAGGTTATTTTAGGGGGGGGGTCACGGTATTGCCACCCTTACTTCTGTATGCTGCTGGTGGTGGCTCTGCCTTCAGAGCCGGGCTCCCGGCCAGCAGCCGCCACTTTCCAGCTGCCCAGCTCTGAAGGCAGCGCCACCAGCAGCAGTGCAGAAGTATGGGTAGCACTATCACAACCCTCCCTACAATAATCTTGTGGAAACACCAACACCCCCCCAACCCTTTTTGGGTGAGGACCTCTACAGTTACAACACCGTGACATTTCAGATTTAAATAGCTGAAATCATGAAATTTACCATTTTAAAAATCCTATGACCATGAAATTGACCAAAATGGACTGAATTTGCTAGGGCCCTAATCATTAATGAATGTGTTGAAAAGCACTGGTCCCAGTACAGATCCTTGGGGGAACCCCACTATTTCTCTCTCCACTGTGAAAAAATGACCATTTATTCCAACCTAAAAATGTTATGGGTGGGATTTTTAAAAGCATTAGTTAACTTTGCTCCCAAGAAGTCAGAGAATTTTACAGTTCATTTAATGGGAGTAGAATTAAGCCAATTCTGAGTGTGTTTGAAAATCATGCACTAAATGCTTACTCTACTCTTCAATGTAAGCAATTTCTCTAGTTGCCTCAAGGATGTTAAGCTATCATCTATTGGGACAGGTGATCGACACAGTGGTGAATGGGAGGCGAGGAGGTCCAGACTAACTCAGTTGGTGAACATTTGTGTAATTAGATGTATACTAGCCCAGGACGAAGTAGACCAATCAAACTAAAATCTTATGCCAATTGGAACCAGCTGATTTTTTCAGCAACAATGTCCACTAGGGTGCAGATGTGGGACAAAAACCCAAAATAGGTGGCAGAAAAATAATAGTATGGAAAACTTAGAATGATGGCACATTAATACTTTAATACTTTGTGTCTTTTCAGCTTCTTAAATCAGGCCCCAAAATCACCCCAGGGAGCTGTGCAGTAGCAGCAAGCCCACAGCCTTTCTTGAATTATGGGGGGGTTGCAGAAGGACAAAGTAATGAGGGAACTATTGAAACTCAGTGGTTTTGTTAAGAAACCTGCAAGTTTTGTTGGAATCATTAAAGTTGTTAGGTTCAAATGACCCCCAAACGTTATCAAAAGTCTACAATTGAAAACTGACAGTTTAGGAATGTTGACACCATATGAGTTTAAAATTACAAAGGTTGTACAGCCCTAAAATGAAGCTTCAGGCCCAGATTCTCAAAGGAATTTAGGCACTTAATATCCATTAATTTCAGTGGGAGTTAAGCATCTAAATACTGCTTCAGATCTGGGCCCCATCGTTTAGTATTGTCATAACACCTCAGGATTTCCGTTTTGAGTTTGGGCCGTGTTACAGAGCAAGTAAGTTGATATTCTCAGTTGACCCTGTTACTTCCCTGATTTTCAATGTTCTAAAACAATTAATGATTCCTGCTGCACAGCGCTCTTAAATTCATTTTGAAATGATAAACACATTTTAAATTACAGTAGGAGTGAAGTTTCTTTGAAATCAATTGAAGTTGGGATACAGAACCTTTTAGTTAAATAAATATTCTTACAAAATTGCCACTTGAATTAAGATGAAGACTGGGCCACAAATGTAAACATATTCAAATCTGGCTTGTGGGACATAATTAGCATTTGCTTAGAGGAAATTAGGAATTTGCAAAGTTATTGCAAGTCCTTCTCTAGTGTCATGAGAATCAAGATGAGTGAGGAAAGAAGACTGAAATATTTGGGGGGGGGGGAGGGTCAGAAGGAAAAATGGCTCCTTATACTTACACAAAATGCCAATCCCAGCATTTCATAAGCACAAAATATATGTTACAGTAGATGTGGTAAATATAGAAATACATAATTTACCTTTGGTGAAAAAAGGTCGAATTTCTTTCCAGAGTGCTGGGTTATTATTAAATATAATACCATTTTCATGCATGCCAATGCACTGTAACCCAAGCTTGCTTCCAAATCTACAGATATATTGCCCATGTTTCATTACATGGAAGATACTGGAGGATCTGGGAAAGGAAAAAAAAGATCCTTTTGTAAATCTCTTTAATTTGACTTACTCTACTTCAGGCCCAATCTTCTGAGGTGTTGATCACTTGAGAGAGACAAAGCACTTTCAACTCAAACATACTGTGCATGCAACATTGATGTCATTTCTTATATATGTGATTCTTTAAAAGCCATGATCTGATTGATATAAAAATAATGCCATGCATCATGCTAAGTACTTTTTTTTTTTTTTTAATACATGCGGCTAGGCATGCACTATTTTCTTGGTAAAATGGCAATTGACTGCCTCAGAAATTCAACCGGAGTAAAGAGTGAAGATGCATAGAAATCTATAGGAACATAGACTTTGCCATACTGTCTCTGACAATGGCCAGTATCAGATGTTTCAAAAGCAGATGTTAAACATTTGATGGCAGTTATGCAATAACATATCTATAGGGGAAGTTGCTTCTTCACCCTTGACAGTTTTTGGTTGCCTTTCATATTGAATCAAGAGGACTGATAACCTTTGTACATTTTTAATTTTGTTACTGGTTAATGTAATTGAGAATGATGTTCTTATTATTCCTATGTGTCTCATCCTTTAATGATTTCTGTTAAGATCTGTTCCTCAATAATCTCTTACGGCAGTGAGTTCCACAAGGGATTGCATGGGAGTACAGAATTGGAAACCTTATATATACACACACACACACACACACTAATTACCCTTGGAATGTGGTTTTATTCATGCGGAGTATTGTGTTTGGGAAGGTTGTGTCTGGTACTGAAAATACAACCCCTTATATCTGTTCACTAGCCCCAGACACATGAACAGAGAGATTTTCTAGGTCACTAGTTGAATTCCAGTCCAAATAACTGGAAGTTGTTATCATCTAACAGCTTCTCAGTGACCTAAATGAAATGAGCTGGTGTTCCCTAGTGGACAGGCTTTCACATCCTAAAAGCTACCAGCACCATTAGCACTAATTGGCAATAGGAAAGATTAAAGACAACCAAAAACAAACATACCCCAAAGTTTTGGAAGGGGTATAAATTCTCATGCTTCAGAGCATAAACCAATCTCCATTAATGTGGGTTAAGAACAAACCAAAGTAGTGAGTATTGCTAAGGAATCTCTGTTTGGTCACCTAAATCACATGGTATTTATTTGTTTTCTGAGTAGATGATCCAGCCTTTAATTTTGGATGGAAGCAGCAGTAGCTTATAATGTACTGGTACTCTTGTGAAAAAAGAGATGTGTTGAATGTAACGATTTTGAACTATTGACCCCGTCAGAGCTACTGACTTGCCACAGATAATTGTCCAAACCGAAGTTTCCTTTTATGCAGGATATGAATGTTGCCATATTTTAATGTGATTTGGAATTCAGCATAATGGTTTTGAATTCTCTACTTTTCACCCAGCTCTTCTTAGGACCACAGTCATATTCTGATCATTTTACCAGGCTCAGCCAATAAGCTATGGGACCGCAACACTGCATAGCCGGTCTTTGATGGATTAAAATACACAGATGTTAGACCCCATCAATCATGGCAGGCATATAGTGCCACCTACACATTTTATAGATATTTGATCATTGGCAAACCCATGATGAAAACAAATATCCGTGTGTAATAAAAAAAACAAACACTACCCCTTGGAGAATAAGGGCAGTCTCTCACAAGGATGCGCCTTAGAGACCAATAGAATCATAGAATATCAGGATTGGAAGGGACCTCATCTAGTCCAACCTGCTGCTCAAAGCAGGACCAATCCCCAGACAGACTTTTGCCCCAGATCCCTAAATGGCCCCCCTCAAGGATTGAACTCACAACCCTGGGTTTAGCAGGCCAATGCTCAAACCACTGAGCTATCCCTCCCCCCCCAATAAATGTGACTTTAGTCTTCCAGTTTCATAGGGCTCAATTCAGCAAGGTTGAGCCCTGTGGACCTTTAGCCTCTTTGCTGGATCAGAGCCACAGTGCTCATTGCCTTGCAAGATGCAGCCCATAGTGCACAATGTGCATCACTTGATTCAGTGCTTGATCTAATTATGTACACACAGTGAATGCACAATATAACAAGGACCTTGCTTTACCAGTATATGGTAGTTAGCTACATTACAATTCTTTGCTTTCATATGTTTAATATAATGCCTATAAAATTACTACTGGTAATTAATTAGCAGAGATTAGGATTACTCATATATATTAAACCAAAGAAGAAATATTACAAAAACAAAGTATGTGTCAAACAACCCTAAATAAAAAAACCTACCGCCACCAGAACATACCCTCCTCTTTTTCTATTAACCATGCTTATTCAATTATCACACTCTGGCAAACTGGCTTCGATCAGCATTACTACTTTAGAACCTAATTTCCTGTAGAGGGAGCTAGCTGCTTAGAAATGCTGATCCAGTGGCACAAAATGATAGGATCAAAGATGCCAAAGAAAGGAAGAGAGAGACTGGCAGAGATCAAACACTCAACCACTTTTCATGCCATGCACACTTCAGAGACCAAATTCTGAAATTCTTATGCAGTGTTAACTAAAACAAAACTCTCATTGAAATGAAGTGAGTGAAGACCATGGAGTTTACTATTGCCTTTAATGGGCCAGGGTTTCACTCTGGGAGTTTTGCCTGAGTAAAGATTGAGTAAGGATTAGAGTACGGGGTAGAGCTGAGGAACATAATCAGAGAGGAATTCTGCCTCAAGGATTCTGCCAGGGGATTGTGCTCAGCGCTACAACCCTTCAGGGAGTGCAGTATATTCCCCCTTGTCCCTTCTGCCCTGCTCTTTCCTTTCCTCCCCACGGCTCCTGTGCATCCATTGTGGTGGATTGTGCAGGGAAGGAAGAGTCCCTGTACTTCCATGTGCTCAGGGAGTGGAATGATGACAGGCCTATCACAGACGTGCAATCATGGGGAGAGGCTCCCTATGCTCTTTTCCAACCTGTATGCTCACCTAAGGGCGAGTCACAGAGCGGCCCTAAGTGAGGATTTCAGGATTTGCCCATCTGAGCAGAGAGATAGACTAAAAGGTAGCTATTAAAATTGGGCTGGATTTTGCTGATGGAAGCTATAAAATCATATTTCATTACAAAATTATGCAGTCAAGGCCTGGAGGAGACAATGTAAATTGTATTGCAGACTCTGCAAATCTCTGTGCATCTGCTCTTAATCTAAGTGGAGTTGATGGCAAAAGTTCAATTGCCTTAAAGGGAACAGGACTGTACCTGTTTTACAGAGCTCAGATCTTGCTGTTTAACTGTGACAGGCCGTAAGAAGCACTGCGAATGCTCCATTGACATTGTAAAGGATTTTTAAGTATTAGTTTTCCATGTCTTGTTAAGGTTTTTAAGTGAGAGGCAATCCTGACCAAAGCTGAGGTAATGACTGTGCAGTCTGATTCATCTACTGCATTGATTTGTATATCTGATTATTTCTTATAGACTTGAATCAAATAGTGAGAGTAATACGAACACTTTGCATTTACACAGTCTGACATGTTTTAAGCATTGTATGGACATTAAGTAATTAATCCTTACTACTCCTATATTGGTCAAGAGGGTAGGTAGTATTCTCATAGTTTCTACCTAATTGGTAATGACAGAGACAGAAAAGTGAAATGACTTGCCCAGATCTGAACAAAGTCAGTGATAGCACCAGGATTAGAGCTCATTTCCCTGGACTACAATGTCTTTCAACAAGCTGGCTCTGACTTTTACATGATTGACATATCTGGATCCAGAGTAGTTAGAACGGCTAATCCAACAGTTGTTTTTGTTGTTCTTTATGTGTGGAAGACTTTATTAGAGTTTATTTATGGACAAATCCTTATCCTTATTATGAGTTCCCAGAATGTCCAATAAAAAAAAATCACACCCCCCGCCCAAAACAAAACCCCCACCTCTATTGCAGCTAGTAAAACTACATGCTCCAATTCAGCAACATATTTAAGAATGTTTAATTTAAGCACATGAGTAGTCCCATTGATTCCAATGGGATTACTCATATTCCTGAAGTTTTGCATGTGTTTAAGTACCTTGCTGAATTGGGTCCATAATTTTCAGTTTTTACTCCCATTTTGAGAAAGATCTCTATGAGGCTTTTTGCCATTAATTTTTGGTTTGATCCTGCAAGCTATCAATCAAGTTCTTATATAGTGTCTTATACTCAGTAGTCCTATTATAATAAATGCAGGACAAGTGAGTGTAAGTACTTACAGGATTGGGCCTTAGGGTTTGATCCTTGTTCCATTGAAATACATGGCAAAACTCCCATGTACTTCAGTGGTACAGGGTCAAGCCTGTAGTATATAAGTATTGACATTTAGAAGCTGCACACAAAAAAGAGAGGTCAGCAAGTAGCAGAAGACATAAGATTCCTGTTAGTGAGAAACAATTTTGAAAATCATGAAATAATTCTAATATAACAAAGTGCCTGGCAAAAAGTTGCAAAATACTTGTTATATTATTAGAGCGAGAGAGAACAAAGATTTACTTGCTAATAATGAGTGTTTCCTCTCCACTGATCCAGACTCTCATAAATTCTCCATACATCTTATTGTAATAGTTGCAGGCATTGCCCACTCCCATCCAAAGGAATCTCCCATGTGAAATGAGGGGACCAATTCCCATACAGAAACCAGGCCCTAAGGAAAAGGTTAAAACAATATGAATTTTAACAATGGATTAGAAAATATATCAGTATCACTCTTTGCAAAGGATCTTTAACACCCAAGTCACAGAGCCTATTGGACACTTGATTTCACGTAAAATTGGCTTATGCAAACCTGACATAGGAACATCTATCTGCAGAGTTGATAGTTTTATATCGACAGCAGCTTGATCCTGAGTCTGATGTACAGTCTATGTGCATGTAATAAACTACACTCTGAACCTTTTTCTGATACTTCAAGCAGATGACTATGGGGGTGGTTTTCATTTAGAGGTATAGTGGGTAGGTATCAAGGCAAAGGAGTAAGAAATAGTTCAAAGAACAATGACATCCTATTGTTTATCCACTTGCAAATTTAACAAATAGTTTTAGTGACAAGGGCCTTTGTTAGACTGTAATATCACCTACAAAAGTCAACTTCCTAGCTGTCTTTTAATATAAAGAATAGTAAATGAGGAAAATACAGTTTTAGAGGATGAGTTTGTATAAGAGCATTCTACTCAACGAGTTTCTGGAAAGCAACATTCTAATGTAAGAGCTCAGAACGGAATCTAAATTTAGTCAATGGTTAAGATTCTGAACTGAGTTACACCGGTGTACCTCAGCTGACTTCAGTAGAGTGATTCCAGAGATGCACTAGTGTAACAGAGCAAAATTTGTCCCCCTAGGGGGGGGGGGGGAAAGAGTGGGGAAAGAGTCTTAGAATGGCTAAAGGAACTCCCTCTGTTCTATATGGTCAGTCTGGCTTGCCTGCTGTAATGTCTTGGGATTTGTTCAGACATATGAAAGAAAGTAAAGTACTTAGAGAAAAGTTTCACACATTATGTTCACAAGATATACAAATACCTCAAGACACCAGCCTTTATGAACAGGAATCAGAAGCCAGGACTATTTAACTGTAAATTTAAGGCAAATGAATGCTGTTCTCTTTCCCGGTTAATCCCATAAAGCGTTCAGGCTGCACTACATAACCTTCTGCAAATGCCTTTCCAGTATTCTCTGAACTCTCCACGAATAAGGGTTATTCAAAGATAGTTTGCCTGGGTCTCCTCTCAATTAGCTTTACTCAGGTGTAATCCCATTAACTTCCTTATGTGCACTATGTTCCAGTTTATGGAAATTTATTATCCTAATGGAGAATAAACTGAAGTGACATCTACATATGTTCCTGAAAACCTAGCAAAAAGGGTCATCTGAATGGGAGACCTTTTGATGTTGGTCCATAAGGGGTGGTTCTTTAGTGTCAGATACATGGGAAAAGGTGGGTAACCAAAGAGCTCCAAAATGACCCTCTTCTAGATTAGATTTGTTTTGAGCAGAAATCATCTTCCAAAGCTCCGTTTGCAACAGTAACAAAAGGAAAGCTCTAAAACATCCATGAAAATAATCCAGACTATAAATATCTAGATACCATGCTTAAAATTACATACTATCATATGCACACAAGGAGAGATCTGAAGAAAGTAAATAATGTGATACTTTTAGCTGACCAAACAAACTTGAATGCACAAAGTTTAGGGGCAAATAAGGCACTTCAGATTTTTGTTTTTCCTATCATTATATCCCTACTATATTTTATACAACATATTCCTTCTGTGTTTCCTAGATATGTACTTATTACCCATCGTTCCCCTTTTTACCATAGTGTGAACAACAAAAGAACCCCTTTGTAGCGTTTTGGGGGATACCATGTCAAATCAATTTACCTGGTATTGATGATGTTTCTTCATAATTCCAGATTAGGAAAAGAAAGCACATGAGGAGGAGTATGGGCACGGTGGCAGTTGGCATCACTTCTGGCACCACGCTGGTGATATTGTAATGCATCAGATTCAGGGTTTCCAGTATCATCTTTTCTAAGAGAGTCTACTTTGCCTTTAGGGGAAAAATATGGAAAGAGACAGAAAGTTTCAAAATGCTAAGACACCTTTAATCGGTACCTTGCAACCCCTTTGCAGGTCCTGTAACTGAGCAAATTCATACCAGGAGTAGCTTTGTTTTATAATGAGACTGGCTGCTTAGACAAGACAAGCTAAACTACAAGTCAAAACAGACGTACAGCAGATTTACTTTTTGCCCAGAAATAACAAAGCATTTCTGACCTTGGTATTGAAGCTCAGGTTCCTTTGGATGCTTTGGCCAATAGACCTTTTATCTTTGATATTGCCCTTGGCTGGCCAACAATGACGTTAACTCCAGACAGCGTGCCAAATTTCTAACCATAATAAAGGAAATTAAACTCTCAACACATGTGGAAGGGTTGAATGAACTCACTTGTAGTCTTTTATCTAAGATACCTACCTTTTTTTCCCTCCATGTCACTAGCATTTGTGAATGTCCTTGGATTTCCAAAATAACCAAGTATATTTCCTAGTACACAAATGTAGCTTGCCTCAGGCATCTGGTAAAAATTATATTGTGCTTTATTTTTATCTGACACTTAGTGTTGTAATGCTTTGCATTTCTTTACTTTTTTTTCAAAATATTTAGCAGAAGAGCATAGTACTTGTCAGACCAGACCATAGATTCATCAGGCCTAGCGCCATCTTTTCTCTTTGACAATGACCAATGCTTGACTCTTAAAGGAAGGCAAAAACATAACAGACAACCGTGCTGTAAAAGAGGGAGAAGGGTTCCTTGCTGGTCCCTGCAGATGTTAAGTTATGCCATAAACCATGGGATTTGTTTTTCCCTGTGGAGGCAGATACTGTTATCTGTATGAGGATGACCACACGGTGGGGTGGGGGAGCATTGTCCAACTTGCCGGGGAAGAGGGACTAGTGCTTTACGTGTGTGTATGGTGGGGGGGGGGGGTGTGTGCGCACTGCAGAAAGGGGGAGTGGGTCAGCGTGGTGACACTGACTCATCCCCAGGGACCAGAAGGGTTGGGGAGTTGAAAAGGGACAAGCACGGCAAGAGAAGCCCTTTTTTCCCTGGGCCAGGTGGTGTAGCACCCACCGACTCGCCGTCCCCTTGAGGTGGTGAAATACTAGGTTTGGTCAGGACCTGCTGTGGGCATCATGCTAGCTGCTCCTTCCTAGGGGCACTGGGAAATCATTTTTCCCTGACCACCAGATTAGCCTAGGTGGAGTGGGGGGCTGGGGTTCATCTTCCCCACAATGGGTTCAGGGAGAGATCTTTTACAGCAAGTAGGGAAGGGAGTTAGGCTATGATGTTGCAACTCATTATGTAAGTGTGGGGGTGGATGTGCAGTGCAGGGATACAGTGACCTGATAAATGGTTTTGTAAAAGGACTTAAAAAGGAGGTGTTGGTTAAAGGAGTGGAATGGGGGAATTCAGGGCTCCTATGACTAGTACGGCAGGAAGCCAACCCCTCTTTCTTATAGCCCACCTTAACCCTCGTTTGTGGGAGGGGCGGGGGTGGTAAGGTCCCAGCAATGGGTTGGCTGGGGGACCTGGATGGAAAAATAAAGGGGACCTGGTGAAACCTGCTGGGTAGATATTGAATGAACATGGAGTTACCTGCACTGTACACTTTTATCTGCTGGGTAGTCCCAGACATCTAATAATAAAGTCGAGGTCTGATTAAAACCATATCAAGTGTCTCCTGCCCTCCTTTTGGTATAGCCAGACAAGAGATGTTTTACAGCTTGTTACTGTGCAATACATCAGATTAGATGAGTAAAACACTTTTAACTCTGCTCTTACAATAACTAGATGTGTATTTGCGTTGTTCTCTAATCACTTAATATCTAAGTTCCAGGGGATAGGTACTCAGCATGTCCAGGTACAGCTGGTGTAGCTATTTCTTCCCCAATATTTTGGGTTTTCAAAATGTTTATCTTGAAACTTTCTCTCATATTGTGATTTTGTTTATTGTGTGTTTTTGTCTCGTACTGTAGAAGAATGTACTACCATACTCAGTTAGCAGTAATAGTATTATTATTATATTTATGGAGTGCACAGAATGTGCTCACTGCTTTACAGAAAACAAGATGAGCTTACAGTCTAAGTAGAACATGTACAGAATACAAAAAGGATGGGGCAGGAAAGTAATGATTCAGAACCTTATGAATTCAAGTGTTGCCATAGTGTTTTGGAGCATTACTTTGAAATACTTGTAGCACTTTTTAAAGAAAAGGTCTTACTGTAAAACAAAATGTCAAATGACCCTTTGGAAGTGTGTACTACACTGATAAGTAGTTGGATCCCTGGATGTCTTTTCTACCCCATGGATGCTCCTGTATCTTATGTTGCTTTACTGTTGTCCTCTTGCATGCTGGGAAGGCTTTGTGGATAAAAGCCCAGGAGATCAGAGCTGTATTCGCTGCTTTGTCACAGCCTTACCAGATGAGTCTGGCCAAGTCACTTCACCTCTGCAAAATGCAGGTAATTATACTATGATTATCCACAAGATACTATGAAACCTAATTAATAAATGTCTGTAAAGTGTTTTAAGATCCCTGAGATGGTATGCCATAGAAATAGTAGTATAATTGTTGTTCTGACTTCAACAATTATTCTGATGTTAACAATATGTCGCCCCATAGTAGCATGAAGGTGACTGCCTTAAAGATTATGGATTTCATATATGGTAATGGAGATGTCTGCTTTTATATGACAGTAAAAGATAAGCATAGAAAGTGCTGCCTACGGAAAAGTTTACTTTCTTCTACAATTCAAGAAAATATACCCTGAGTCCAGGGTGTGCGTATCATCGCTGTGTATCTTTGTTCTCTGAAGAATTTAATGGACTGTGATTTAAAGTAAGTACCATTGACATACCCATATATCTGCTGCAGAAGATGAAGACAGCAACTGAAGTTTAAGAATACAATGGAGATGCAGAAACAGAGGATGAAGGTCCAAAGTAGTCCCTAGTGTCCTTTCTGATTCCCAAGTCCTCTCGTCTGGAACCTTCATCTCCTAAAATCCAATCCCTACTGTGGAAGACATTCAGTCTCCAATATGTGTCCAGTACATATATGGGATGGGATAGATTAAATCCTGGATTAAGATGAATCCCATGACTGTTACTATCACCTTCCCAGAACCTAATTCTAGGGACTAGATTTTCAAAAGCGCTCAGCACGAAGGGATGCAATGGGATGCTGAGCGCTTTTGAAAATCTGGCCATCCATAGAGGCTTGTTTGTTCTGGTGACCCTTGTATTACATTGATTAGTATTAAATGAGTGTTTTAATTGCAGTTTATATGTTAAGTTTAACAGGAATCAGAAAGGTCACTGGTGGTCAATGCCCCCAGACCCAGGTTTGATGCCAGTTGAGTGCCATAGAGCAGCCCAGTCCCAGATCAGCTGAGAAATCAATAGCAGTAGCTCTCTAGAAGAGAATTTAATGCAAAGATTTGCAGTGGGCTTATCTTATTACCAAAGCCTAGGCCCAAATGCTGACTCCAGTGGGAGTTTTACCTGAATATGAAGTTCAGGATTTGGCTCATATATCATGTTAATTAAAGGGGTACACAATTCAGCAAGAATGTTAGGGTGTCAGTTTCTCTGAGAATCAAAACTGGAAACTTCATTTACATCCCTGTATCTTTGATGGTAGGCCCATCATAGGGTGATTGGCCCTGCTAAGAAGAGATGGGCCCAGCCCCATCTGTGACTGATTAGCTGACTCCCAAGTGAAGCTGTAGGGCTTGATGAAGAACATCTTGCCCCTGTAAAAGTCAGTGAGAGCTCAGTTGAAGAGAACAGGGTGGGAACTATCGGAAGCAGGATAGGCTTCTGTGGTAGGCCCTGGACAAGGTGACTCCCAGGCAGATGGCCTGGGAGAGAACTGGAGAGAACCCGGTCTATGGAGAGCCAGATTGAGGAGGGACTATGGGGGCAGCTGTCTAGAGAGTCAGGGCTCTATAAAAGCATGAAAGAAACTGAGTAGATCCCAGGAAGGGCAGATGACCCTTTTCAAAGAGGAGATAGACCCTCAGGAAGGAAGAACTATGTCAAGCTTGAGACTGGGGTGAAAGACCCTCTTAGGTTTTATGTTGGTTTGGAGTTTGATATCATGGAAAGGGTGGACTTTTTCGTTTATAACTTAGCTGGAGGGCCAAGTTACTGTGGCACACAAACCATGTGGGAAGTTTGAGAAACCCAACACCTGGTCAAAAAGGGACCCTCCCCAGCCTGGTGAAAATGAATGAGTGAGGGTGGAAGAGAGCGAGTGACGGAGGGAGTGGGGATGGAGTGAGAGGGGTGGGGCCTCAGAAAAGGGCCAGGGCAAAGGTGTTCGGTTTTGTTCAGTTAGAAAGTTGGCAACCCTACTTGAGTGAAGGGAATCTGAGGCAGTGGCTAGTCTCAAGCCAAGTAGGTAGGCAGTGCTGTTAAAGACCGAATTTAGCAGCCCTTACTCACCCTTGTGTGCAAATAGATTAATAAGTTCCACTTGGTGTGAGTAAAGATTTGGGTACTGGGCCACGAGAAAGGCTGCAGTGTGGGTTTTCCCTCAATGCAGTTTCTTTCCCTCATTTCCCATTCTTAAAATCACAGAAGATAAATGCATTGAGTTACCATTGCTGGCTTTCTATTTCTGGAATGCCATAGAATTTGTTAGGTGCTTCAGTAATATGCAGCTCTATGGGGTACTCAATTGTATCATCTTTAGTACAGTAACTCCTTGCTTAACATTGTAGTTATGTTCCTGAAAAATCCTACTTTAAGTGAAACGATGTAAAGCGAATCCAATTTCCCCATAAGAATTAATGTAATTGGGGGGGTTAGGTTCCAGGGTGGTTTTTTTTTTCGGCCAGACAAAAGACACATGTATACAGTACAAGTTAAATAATTTTAAAACAATTTTATACTGTACTCACCAATGATGATTGTGAAGCTTGGTTGAGGCAGGGGGCATAGCGGGGTCAGGATGCGG